TGAATCTGAAGTATTCATCCCTCAACAAGACGGTGGCGCCTGGAATTCAGCAGCAGCAGCAAGCAGAGGCAGCCAGTAAACAGCGGGCGGCACAAGCAGCACACGCCCAGAGCGCAGCACAGAACGCATACAATATGCAACTGAATCAATTCCACACACCAACCCATGCCCAACCGCCACCGATCTATAACGGGGTGTATGCTGGCCATCAGCAAGGTGCTCCGCCGCCGTACCCCAACCAGCCACCAGCCTACGGTCATCAAATGAACATTCTGCCAGGGCAGATGCCGCAACAGCAATACGCGCCATCACAGACCCTCTACGCCCAGGCAACTACGAGGGCCGGCCGACAGCGTGCATCCACCATGGATCCCCAGGGTGGAGGCATTCCGCCGACCATCCAGCGCGTGGCGAGTCATCTCGATCCTAACGCGCCGATCAGGCTGCAACCGAGCCCGGCCTACTACCCACCTCCACCGGATGGATACGTTGATGCCAACTCAGCCAACCAGCAAAGGCGTCGGGGAAGCCGAACGGGTGGCACAAGAAATCGGGACTTTATTCGGACTCTTGAAGACGGTGTCTTAGGAGGTGAAGGCTTCATGAGCCAAAATCAGTGGCACTGAGGGCGAGGAGACCGCTGGCAGTTTGGTCGCACCTGGCAGGTGCATCGGCCTCGCTGACTAACATTCGATCGAGCAAGCACATGCTCTATGTGCGTCTACCACGAGAGAAGAACAGTCAGGTGGCTGTTCTCGCGTGTCCTCCTTTCGTGGGATCCTGCAAGTATTTTTCCCAGTCTTCGCACCACCAGGTATTCCCAGGTTGGACCGCTCTCAAGCCACAACAGTACCGTCACGCAACCCTGCCCCAGATGCAGTCTGCTTGTTGATCAGCATACAACATTCGATATCTTTAGCCCTACTGCATCCCCTGGGATATGACGGAAGGAGCCCCCCGTGACACTCCGATCTCATTATAGTGACTAGCGCGGGGTCCTAGTCGAGCGTAAAGCGCCTTCTGGTGGCGGGTTGGTACTTAATATGCCGATCATCGACGGATTCCATGTCTGTGACGCTCTTCCTAGGTTTCATGTCTCCTCGTGTCAACTCTCTGATCATGTGTGTGGCTGGTTTCGGCATAGCCAGGAGTATTGGAAAGACCTTGGTTTTGTCTCTTTTATAGTACTTCCTTTTATTTTTTTTATTGTTCACATTCCTGATTATGCTTCGCACAATCTGCACGGAACTGCCTCTGTTATGCGCCGATGCGTTGAATTGTCTTCCTTTTCCGTTTTGCCTTCCGATTCTCCCTTTGTTCTTTTTACCCTCTTTGTTCTTTCTGTGCAACCGAAGAGAGAAAACATGGCTGTAACTTGGATATTTGAATATGGACTGCGGTCTATGAGGGTTAGGAACGAATGGCAAGAAAGCATATAGACGCGTTCTGAGATGTTCTGATATGATATAAGGATATACTCAAGAATGATAAATGCATTGACGATTCTCCGCAATATTGAAATTGAAGATGGCGGAGTCGAGTCTAGAAACTAGAAGCGGGATGTGGTTGTCTAATTGCCCGATGCGGTTAGGTGTGGCCTCGCTTAAATTTCGTGTGTGGCTCGCGCAGCCCAACCTCTGCGGCTCCCGCCGTACCCTCACAACTGAATTTGCTCCCTAGGCAAAAGAAACAGACCGAACTGGCTCTGAGGGATCTACGCTTCCATCCCTGAACGACTGTGCGTCACCCCCGATTTTTGTGACGACCATCCATCGAACTCTCCGCGACTTTTTTCCCGGTTTATTTTAGCGTTCGAAAAGACACTCAACACAACCCGCAAACATGTCGCGTTTCTTCTACGGTGGCGGTAGCGACAGCGAGTCCAGCTCGTCCGACGAGGAGGAGCTCTACAGCGATCGTGAGGAGGAGGAGCAGTCCGAGGAGGAATCCAGCGAGGAGGAAGAGGACTCGGAGGAGGAGTCCTCGTCCGAGGATGAGGGCGCTGGCAAGACCGGTGCCAGCCGTTTCATGAGAAATGTCTCGGACAGCGAAGAGAGCGAGGACGAGGAGAAGGTCACGGTCGTCAAGAGTGCCAAGGACAAGCGTTTGGAGGAACTCGAGGGCACCATCAAGTTGATCGAGAATGCCGAGAAGATTAACGACTGGGCGGTCATCTCGACAGGTGCGTTGGACCACACAGGACTCGCCAGGGTCGCCGACACCGGGCGGCGAGGAGGAGGAATCATGGTGGTTGGATGCTAATTCGGGATCAATCTACACAGAGTTCGACAAGCTGAACCGCCAGGTCGTCAAGATCACGCAGTCCGGCCCCGTTCCCCGGGTCTACGTCAAGGCCGTTGCCGACCTCGAGGATTTCGTCAACGAGACCGTCACCAAGCAGAAGTCGGCGAACAAGAAGATGAACGCCAGCAACTCCAAGGGTTTCAACGCCGTCAAGCAGCGTATCAAGAAGAACAACAAGGACTACGCCGCCCAGATCCAGAAGTACCGCAGCAACAAGGATGGTTATCTGGATGGAGCCGACGAGGAGGCTCGCCCCGTCGTCAGCGCCCCCCGTCTCACCAAGGTCGAGCGCGTTGAGGCTCCCGTTGCCGATGTCCCCGCTGCTACTGCTGCTGCCGCCGATGATGGCTTTGCCACTGTCGGACGTGGTGGTAAGACCCTCCAGTACACCCCTGAGAGCATCCTCAAGCACCTTCGCGTCATCGTCGAGTCCCGCGGAAAGAAGAACACCGACCGTCTCGAGCAGATCCGCACCATGGAGAAGCTTCTGGAGGTTGCTCAGAACCCTTACCAGCGCATCCGTATCTACCTGACCCTCATCTCCACCCGCTTCGACCTAACCTCTTCTTCTTCCGGCAACTACATGGCCGTGGATCAGTGGAAGTTCGCCGAGCAAGAGTTCGCTACTCTTCTGTCTGTCCTCGAGAACAACCGCGACTACGTCGTGACCGAGGGTGCCGAGGAGTGGGAGGACGACGAGAAGCAGCCCACCGTTACCGCCGGCGAGACTTTGCACATCCCCGGCAGCATCGTTTCTTACGTCGAGCGGTTGGATGACGAACTCACCCGCTCCCTCCAGAACATCGACCCCCACACCGCGGAATACATCGACCGCCTGGGTGACGAGAAGCAGCTGTACACCAACCTCGTCCGCACTCAGACCTACGTCGAAGGTCTCACCTCCTCCGAGAAGAGTGACCCCAGACAGGACAGCATCAACAGAGTCGTTATGCGGAGATTGGAGCACATCTACTTCAAGCCCTCCCAGGTCGTCACCATCCTGGAGGAGGCCACTTGGAAGACTCTCCCCGCCGAGTTGGACACCAAGATCACCCCCCGTGCCAACGTCGGTGATGTGACCGAGCTCGTCCAGACCCTCTGCAACTACCTGTTCAAGAACAGCGACGGTATCATTCGCGCCCGTGCGATGCTCTGCCAGATCTACTTCCTCGCCCTTCACGACCAGTACTACCGCTCCCGCGACCTGATGCTCATGTCCCACTTGACGGAGAACATCGCCAACTTCGACGTCAGCACCCAGATCCTCTTCAACCGCACCCTCGTCCAGATCGGTCTCTGTGCCTTCCGTGCCGGTCTCATCTACGAGGCCCAGAACACTCTCTCCGAGGTCTGCGGCAGCGGCCGTCAGAAAGAGCTTCTGGCTCAGGGTATCATTCTCCAGCGCTACTCCACCGTCTCCCCCGAGCAGGAGCGTCTGGAGCGCCAGCGTCAACTCCCCTTCCACATGCACATCAACCTGGAACTCCTGGAGTGCATCTACCTCACGTCGAGCATGTTCCTGGAAGTCCCTCTCATGGCTCAGACCTCTTCCTCCCCCGAGATGAAGCGCCGTGTCATCTCCAAGACCTTCCGCCGCATGCTCGACTACAACGAGCGCCAGGTCTTCACTGGTCCTCCTGAGAACACCCGTGACGGTGTCATCATGAGTGCCAAGTTCCTGGCCGCCGGTGACTGGAAGAAGGCCGCCGAGATGCTCAACTCGATCAAGATCTGGGACTTGATGCCCCAGCCCGAGAAGGTCAAGGAGATGCTGTCGCAGCAGATCCAGGAGGAGGGACTTCGCACCTACCTCTTCACCTACGCTCCCTTCTACGACAGCCTGTCGCTGGCCACCCTGGCCACCATGTTCGAGCTCCCCGAGAAGAAGATCCAGGCCATCATCAGCCGGATGATCTCCCACGAGGAGCTGGCGGCCGCCCTGGACCAGGTCAACGACGCCATCGTCTTCCGCAAGGGCGTCGAGCTGTCGCGCCTCCAGTCCCAGATCGTGACCCTGGCCGACAAGTCGATGAACCTCCTGGAGGCCAACGAAAAGACTCTCGAGCAGCGGACGCAAGGCATGGCCAACGCCTTCCAGCGCGATCAGGGCGCCGGCGCCCGCGGTGGCCGTGGTCCTCGGGGTGCCGGGCAGGCCCGTGGCGGTCCCCGGTTGCCCGGTGGTCAACAAGGCCGCCGCCCCGGTGGGCAGCAGTTCAGCGGTGGTGCATTGGGTGGAGCAATCAAGGCATAAAAGAAATGTTTTGTTAATGGCAAATTGATTGTTTTATTTCTCTCATGGTTATAATGCTCAAGCTTCTTCTTTCAAATTTCTGGGATCCTCTTTTCTTCTCCTCTTCCCTCCCTCCCACTCCTCCCTCCTTCCTCCCCGCAAGCTTAACGTACGATATATTCCATGTGCTTTCATCTCTCCGTCTCTTATCATGGAGTCAAATTCCCTTTCCTCTCTCTCACTTGCTGGAATGACTGCCGTCCATCGTCGGCGCGTCTGCATCCTCCTCTTGCCTTTTTGATCCATATCGTACCCTTTTTTGTTTGTTTCGACTTTGCAGAGATGAATATGACGTTTAGAATGAATGAGGGTGGTACACAAAAATTCCAGGCGATGGAGATTTTCCAATGTGATGTATGAGATTAGAGGGCGAAATTGGAATTGCTGAAGATACTCAGAAGATATTCCGGCGTATATGTGTCTGTTATATATTGTAGACCACTAAACACCCAATGTGGTGTGATACAGCTTAGGCTGCCAAGCCCGAAGGCCAATGGTGGGCGTAAGGATATGTACATGGTGGGACTTGATGTCAGGTATCTTCCTGGTAGCAGGATGAGTATGTGACCTTGCTGCTAAGCTTATTGACCACGCGCGAGACCTTAATGTCCTTGCAGGTGCGTTCTTGGGGGTCATGTCGCACCAAGGGGCGTGACGCCGGAAGGGTTTGGCCGCGGGCTTTTATGAAGTATCTAGTACCCGGGCGACGACTGTGTGTCTACGGTCAAGGGCTGTCCTACCAGACAGCCCTCTTGGAGTGGTTGTGCTCAGCCACTATCGTCTAGCAGATTCTGCGGCGACCAATACTCGTTCTCCTCGCCTTGTGCATCCAGCCAAACAAGCCCGTCGGCGAGCAGATCATCGACCACCGTCTGCGCTCGCGCCTTCTCCCACTTCAAGTTGATCCGCAACATGGAGACGCTGACGTATCCCAGGACCTGGATTACCTCCAGGACTGTGGACTGGTCCGTGTTGAGTTCCTTGGGCACCGACTGGATATATTGTTTGCTGCCGACGCGGATGATGGCAAGGCCCGAGCCCAGCGGCTCGAGGGACTGGACGGCGCGGAGGACATCATCACTAGACGAAAACAATCCAAATCAGTTTCGAGCGTCTCGGCGGCCAGCCATACCATCATAGTAAAGCAGGGATGACAACTTACTCAGTTACCTCCAACCCACTCCCGATCGCTCTGCCCTTGCCGACTCGCCGGCGGCACTCCTCCACCCCGATCAGCCCCCCGTTCTCGCTCCGCGTCTCGCGGCAGAGCTCCACGACCCGCACCGCCACCTCGAAGTAGAAGTCATTCATGTCGCCGCCCATGATCTGCGTCCAGAAGCTGGCGTGCTCGCCGGAGGAGCCCTTGCCGCGCGAGGCGTTCCTCCCGCCCTTGACGTTGCTCCCCGCCAGCGGGTCGACCCCGATCGCGTTGCACATCCGGGCGAACTCGGCCCGGAAGGTCGGATTCGATTTGATCTTCGAGCCATGCTCAACGGCGAAGGTGTGTAGCAGGGACTGGAACACGGAGAGTTGCGTCTGCAGCGAGGCGAGGTGCGCGGACCGGAGGTTCGCGCCGTGCGTCGCGTAGATTTGGCTCGTCTGGTTGCGGTTCGCAAAGGCGCCGAGGCCGACGCCGCGGCGGGTGGCCATGATCGATGGAATGTGAATGCTGGAGGTTGGGAGTGGTTTGGGAGAGTGAACGTGGGGGGGAGAGGGGGGTGGGGGAGGGGAGGGCATGGTGTCATATGCCCGAGGCCAAGACTACTGACTACGAAGCCTGAGGCAGCAGCGGGCCCAAGCGCTTATCGTGCTAGGTCACGTGGTACTATGAAGCCCGCATCCCGATAAGGGCTACGCTTTACCCAGGATGGTAGGGCTATTTGGCTCCTGCAGCTAGCCAGCCCGGGACTAGCGCCATCAGGCCCACCCACAACCCATTTTTCTTGAAGCGCGACCGCGATTTTTCTTCTCTTCTTTTCTTGATCTTCTTCCCAGTACGACAGCACTCGCCCAACTCGCCCAACTCGCGAACTCATCGGACCGTCACAATGGCCTCCACTGCTACGTGAGACACCACCCTGTTCATTGATTTTCTTCCAGGCGTTCATTCGCTATGAGCCTGTGAGGATTTCAGTTACAGTCGTCCATATTCCTCTCGCTGGAGATATAAGCTGCGAAATTTTACCTGGAACACGGTTTTTCGCTGGGCAACCCACCAGCTCGATTATTCCCGCGCCGGACCTTTGCCTTTCGTATCCATACTTCGCCTCACTCCTTGTGGACTCTGAAATGATCACATTGGGAGGAATGGGCGCAAAGTGGGATATGAGAGGAAGGTCCGTGGGGTATTGGGGTTGAAAGCACTTCTTGATGTTGCCTTCTCCTCAGAAATCATTGTTGTGAGCTATCGTCATTCTCAGGATTCCTTGTCCTCCTTATGTTGGAGGGAGGAATGAGAGACGTAATGCTACAACGAACCTTCCTGAGCGTTATGCTTAGGGTCTTGTCGGATGAGGCAAGTTGGTCTTTCTATTTGACCTGGTTGGTGGTGAGTGTGAAAGGTATCGCTGAGAATGCATACTGAGTAACACTTGATCACCTACTACAGGCAAATGAAACCACACTTCACCGATCGAAGCTATGTCGTCGAGTGCTTTCATCTATTGCCTTCAGTACGAGAATGTGGCGTTGTAGCTGCAGTTCTTACACTCGGCGAAAGTCTACTTGCTTCACCGCAGAAGACGATTCTGACTCTTCTGCAGCACTGTCCCCACCCAGGACCAGGTCCTCGTCCCCGAGACCCTCCTCAAGAAGCGCAAGAGCCAGGAGCAGGCTCGCGCTGTTGCCCGTGAGGAGGCCCAGAAGAAGAAGGAGGTTAGTATTTTTGCTGGTTCTTGTTCTTGTCTTTTTCTGTTTTCCTTTGTGCATCTACGGTGATGACAACCTACCTACTACGCGATTAGACTACGGTCGATGCTATCGCTTCTGTTAACCATCTTTCGGGGCTGATAATGATGCTTCCCATCTTTTGCATTGCATGAGTCTTCGGGTGAACTCGCTCGCTAACTGGATTCACTGCAGGCCAACAAGGAGAAGCGTGCCGTTATCTTCAAGCGCGCCGAGTCCTACGTCAAGGAGTACCGCGATGCTGAGCGCGAGAAGATCCGCCTTGGCCGCGTCGCCCGCCAGGAGGGTAACTTCTACGTTCCTGAGGAGCCCAAGCTTGTCTTCGTTATCCGTATCAAGGGGTATGTTCTTTTCCTCTCCTGTATCTTTGTCTCCAGGGTGTGATGCTAATGACCTGCAGTATCAACAAGATCTCTCCCCAGCCCCGTAAGATCTTGCAGCTCCTCCGTCTGCTCCAGATCAACAACGGTACCTTCGTCCGCCTCACCAAGGCCACCCAGGAGATGTTGACCATCATCAACCCCTACATCGCCTACGGTTACCCCAACCTCAAGTCCGTCCGTGAGCTCGTCTACAAGCGCGGTTACGGAAAGGTCAACAAGGAGCGTGTCGCCCTTACCGACAACCAGATCATCGAGGAGCACCTCGGCAAGTACGGCATCGTCTGTATGGAGGATCTGATCCACGAGATCTACACCGTCGGCCCCAACTTCAAGCAGGCCAACAACTTCCTCTGGCCCTTCAAGCTCTCCAACCCCACCGGTGGCTTCCACACCCGCAAGTTCAAGCACTTCATCGAGGGTGGTGACTACGGTAACCGTGAGGAGAACATCAACGGTCTCATCCGCCAGATGAACTAAGATGTTTTCGCCCCCTTGCTGGTCGTACTGGGTTGTTTCGGTCCGGGATTTTTAGATATGTCCTCGTAGCAGTTTGAAAATCCAAAAAGTTCAGGCAACTCAATTTCTTTGTCGCTTTGTAATCCCTCTCGTATCTGTGCGTAGCGTATAGATGTGTGGACTGCACCTGCAGTCCTTGACTTCATGCTTTGGGAAAGGTCTGGCAGCAATTGATCTTCGTACCTGATCGGGTGTCCTCAGCATCGCAACCGGCTGGCTGGTGGCCTCTGTGAGATTCAATGGTTACACAGTCTGCCTTTTGTTCTTGGTGTCGTCTTTTGTTTCATTGATCTGCTCAAACACATCCCCCGATCAGAATGATCTCGATAGGCATACATCCTTTGAGCTCGAAATAGTCATCCAGCTGCAATGCTGGACAAGTTGTCTTTGAGGTCACACCTCTTCACTAACTACACATAGCTTTGGACCTGCCCCATGCCATCTATGGTCCTCAGTCAGTCTGATGGGCCTCGCGATTGTGGCTCTCTGTTCTCCCTATGGGAAGCTTAGCGGGTCGTCTCTGTAAGCCCGGTAGAATGGTCATTCGCCCTCCGTGGGATGGTTCGTGTGTCTCGTCCAGTTTCGGTTTGAGCTGGACATAGGAGCATTTATACGCATTCTTAAAATAATACAGGAATATTATGTGGATTGCGAGTGTCAAACTCTGTCAATTATTGATGCTCACTATTCTTGGTAACAACATATATGTACGGAGAGGTATATTACGGAACGGAAGGCTATGGCTATAGTTATGATTCTTTCCAGAAAAGTTCCTTCACATCTAGATCTCAATATACAAATGCGGCTTAACATCGGGCGACATATGCAGTAATAGGCACATCTTCTCTCAATCAATGAATCTTGATTATGCCCCGGATCACCGCGACACTGGAGCAGCCACGTGCTGTCAGGTTGAAGACAATTGAAATGCATTGAAGAGATCACATGGTCCGATCTGAGTCAGCAAGGCCTGCCCCCCAAAGAAGCAAGACCCAGTCTACCCGATGAGGAATAGCCTCATCGAGGAGCGATGGAGTCGGGAAAATGGCCGGTGGATGGATGTGGGAAGGATACAAGTCGATCATCTCTCATGACTTCGTCCAAGGAACACAATATTTCCAACAGATATACATAAATCAAACACATCCAAAAGCGAGTCGCAACCGAGTGTACGCCCTCTGAAATGCCCGATTATCTCATTGACGGGGTGTCCGGCATGTGAAGGAAGCATCATCTGCCACCCCCAGATCAACCTCCGAGCTCCACCATCCAAGATACCGAGGTTCCCTTCCCAGCTCTTGCCGAACACTGCGACCGTCTCCAGCTCCAACACTCCCCAGATTTCTTCTTCCCTTCTTCCCTCTTAAGCTTCTCTTGATCCCCATCTTCCAAAACTTCTTCATTTATCTCCTCCCCTCCCCCATCTTGACCCCGCAAATAAAACACCTTTTTTTCTCCCACAACCCACAACCCACAACCACTGTTCCCCTCGATCCTTCATTCCTTTCCCCTTCCTCCCCCTCTTCTTCTTCCTCCTTCACACATCACCCACTACACACACACACACACACAATGTCAGCGGAGCTGCGCTTCGATAACCAGACTGTCGTCGTCACCGGAGCCGGCGGCGGCTTGGGCAAGGCATATGCTTTGTTCTTCGCTTCGAGAGGTGCCAACGTCGTCGTCAACGACCTGGGCGGTTCGCACTCCGGCGAGGGCAAGTCCTCCAAGGTGGGTAGGGTCGCACAAACCGTGCCACATGCAACCTTCCCAAACCACTCTTCCGGCGTATGGATGCTAACCATGGTAAAATCGATACTAAGGCTGCCGATGTGGTCGTCGACGAGATCCGAGCTGCTGGCGGCAAGGCGGTTGCGAACTACGACAGCGTCGAGAACGGCGAGGCCATCATCGAGACCGCCATCAAGAACTTCGGCCGCGTCGATGTGCTCCTCAACAACGCCGGCATCCTCCGCGACATCAGCTTCAAGAATATGAAGGATCAGGATTGGGATCTCATCTACAAGGTTCACACGTATGGTGCTTATAAGGTGGGTTGGGATTGTTATCCGGGGCGGAATGCTAGGTGGAGTGGAACTGACTGTTCTTGATAGTGCGCCAAAGCCGCATGGCCTCATTTCCGTAAGCAGAAGTATGGCCGCATCATCAACACTGCTTCTTCGGCTGGTTTGTTCGGTAGCTTTGGACAGGCGAATTACTCTGGTAGGTCTTTGGTGGGGAAGAATATCATATCGAGGAGTCGGGCTAATCGGTGTTACCAGCTGCCAAGCTTGGTCAGGTCGGCTTCACGGAGACGTTGGCTAAGGAGGGTTTCAAGTACAACATCCTTGCTAATGTGATTGCTCCTATTGGTATGTTGCACGGATGGTTGGCCGCTTGTTGGAAATCCCGCTGATGGTAAAATAGCTGCTAGCCGGATGACGGCCACCGTTATGCCCCCTGATGTCCTCGAGAACCTGAAGCCCGACTGGGTCGTCCCCTTGGTGGCTGCTCTGGTCCACTCCTCTAACACGACTGAGACCGGTGGCATCTACGAGGTCGGTGGTGGTCATGCCGCCAAGCTGCGCTGGGAGCGGGCCAAGGGTGCGCTCTTGAAGACTGATGCTACTTTGACCCCTGGAGCCATTGCGAGGAAGTGGAGCGATGTCAACGACTTCTCCCAGCCCAGCTATCCCACCGGCCCGGCTGATTTCATGGCTCTGTTGGAGGATGGCTTGAAGTTGTCCGGCGCTGAGTCAGGACAGGAGCCGGACTTCAAGGGCAAGGTTGCACTTGTGACCGGTGGTGGCAACGGGTACGTATCTTTGAACACAAGCTATTGTTCAGTAGCTGACATGCTTCAGTCTGGGTCGCGCATACTGCTTGCTCTTCGCTAAGTACGGCGCTGCTGTCGT